CCACAGAACTTTAAGTTTGGTATTCCAAACCAGCAATCTAAATTTAAATTTGGCATACCTCAACACCAGGGCTTTAAGCCACCCATGAGATATCATGCGCGACCCCCACTAGCTTTTACAAATCAACCTCAAAATAATTTTAAATTGGGTATACCCAATCGGAATTTTCAGAAACAAAATTTAAATGACAATACCGATGTCTCTAAGCGTACCGCACGTCCGCTAAGACAAAATATGCTAGATGACTCTAGGGTTCCCCAATATAACGAGATATTTTATAGTAACGTACCCGAGATAACCGTGAAACATTATAACCATGATATAAATTACTGTAACAAAAATAATTACACATATAATTTAGAAGTGCCCCAATTCGAAGTAGAACCGTATAGTGAAATAGAACAAGTAAGTTACAACCCTGATATAATTTCGAATGATACTGAAAATTTCCAGATAGAAGCCTCCAATTCACCCCCGAGATAATACCAATAAATTGTGATACAATTTTAAAACTCCCGCACATCGAAATACCGGAAATTCAGGCTCGTTTTATGATAGACACCGGGAGCAAGAGATCTTTTATAAGTCCGGCTAAGGTAGAACAATATTTCTCCGCTTTCAAATTATATGAACCTTTCGAAGTTATAAGTACGCATGCACGTAGCCAACATAACGAAGTTATATATATTCCGCTGTTCACGCCCTGAGTTACCCCGACAAAAGTTGACTGGACTAGGGCCCATCAGTAATCCAATCGACGAGCAACAGTGGACGGGGCCCAACGGCCTATGGATAAATGTACAAAAAAGCGGCTGACAAATAAGCAAGCACTTACCTATTTCAGGAGGTAGGGTTGACCACAGGGTACCAGTTAGGTGATAAGTGAGGTGCATGTAAGTAGTGTGTAGTAGTGTTTATATATGTGACCTGACGGCCCGCTTTAATCGGACAGAAGATCCACCGGAGCTGATGTTCTCCCAATGTGCGCTCCCTCCAGACGTAGATCAACAATTGATCTCTGTCTTCATTCACTATTTCAGTTTATCAATTTTATTGTACACTATTTCAATCCATCAACTTTATTGTACATTTAATTAACTTCAAACTCAACCCAACTAAATCCCCGTTTATCGTAATCAAACAAGGCACAGCTAATGAACGGTCGATCAAAGTTCACTTCCGTTTTCACTTAGCAACAACTTTACAAACACGGGAACGAACGCGGCCTCTCGAGTCTCAAAGTTCAGCGTTCCCCACGACAAGCCTTTCTTTCTTTTCTTTCGTACGATATTAAAATAGCAGTCCCGCAATAAAAACTCAAAATCAGCCTCGATGACACGCAAAACTAACTAAATAGTCAACACACAAAACAACAAAATTAACTTCCAAAAACAATTAACCGGGCCACGCCCTCGAAACGGAATGCGAGCATCAAATTCCAGACCGTCTGTCCACACGGCGTGCGCGCAAGGTTCGACGTCACACAAGCAAGTTAAATATTGCAAAATGCACTTCAACATGCAATCACTATACAAATTGACGTAAATTACTTGCAAACGAAGTTACTTTAATCACTCAAATTCAATACAATCCTCTTGTCACGAAACGTACAACTTAGACAAATTAATTCGAGGCGGTCTACACGAAACCCAAATATTCAATACTAAATTAAACGCGCACAAATACTCAAATTCTAGACCATCAAAACCAAAAACTGGCCGCGCGAAACTGATCCAGTGGTCACAAATAAATACACTAGTCGGCAGAGCCGTTGCGGTCAAGCTACTGGTAGCTAGCCCACGGCCGGAATCACGGGAAGCCGGCACACGCCCCCCCCCCCCCCCGGCGGCGCCTACCTCACCTCACCCATCGGGCGATGCGCTCAGTCAAACGCGATTGGATGCCGTTTCAAATGCCCATGTTTGGGCCTAAACACCCGCTCTTTAAAAATTTAGATAAACATAAATTCTATATATAGGATGTCGATAGTAGATACGACGGTTTGATAGGTTCGGATCTTTTAAAACAACTTGACGCTTCAATAGATATGAAAAACCAAGTATTGCACACACGTGACACAAATATATCTATTATATATAACCCCCCATACGAAATTACATTGGAACCAAGAACGGAACTGCGAGTCAACGTCCCAACGGATATGCAAAATGGAAATGCGTTAATAGATTATGTCGATTTTGGTCAAGGTGTTAGGATGCCAAGCGCTATAGTAAAATGCGTTAATCCGGTTGAATACACGGTGATACAAAATGCGTCCGACGATAGGGTTACCATGACGTTCTCTAAGCCCCTAAAAGTGACCAAGTATATAGTTAAAGAATGCAGAGCGAACTTCATGAGAGATAATTACGAGATAGATGAACTGTTAAAACAAAACTTGTCGAAATTACATCTGGATCATGTAAATGAGGAAGAGCGTGAATGTATCAAAAAACTGTGCTATGACTATCGGGACATATGCTATTGCGAATTCCGCTCTCATTGACCAACAGTGTAAAACACAAAATCCGTACTAAAAATACACCTGCAATAAATGAAGAAATACAGAAACAAGTCGAAAAGCTCCTCCAAAATAATGTCATTAAAGAATCTCACTCACCTTGGAGCGCACCTGGCGTCCATCTGGTTCCCAAAAAACTCGATGCTTCAGGTGAAAAAAAAATATCATATGGTAATCGATTATAGGCATTTGAACGAGATCACTATAGATGATAAGTACCCATTGCCGAATATCTCAGACCCGACAAAGCAAAACTTGAACGAGATCACTATAGATGATAAGTACCCATTGCCGAATATCTCAGACCTGTTTGATAAATTAGGGAAATCTATTTATTTTACAACGTTAGACCTGGCAAGCGGGTATCACCAAATAGAAGTTGAGGAAAGTGATAGACACAAAACCGCATTTACAACCTAGTCAGGCCATTACGAATTTGCACGCCTCCCGTTCGGATTAAAGACAGCCCCCGCAACATTTCAACGTGCTATGGATAACGTCTTGAGAGGGTTGCAAGGGTTGCATTGTTTAGTATATCTCGACGATATAATTGTATACTCTTTAAGTCTACAGGAGCGCATAGAAAAGTTGAAAATGGTATTCGATCGACTACGGGAAACAAATCTCAAAGTTACCCTAGATAAGTGTGAATTTCTACATTGTGACATTTGAGGAGCTTGCCACTGTATTCTGTAAAATTGAGGCGGTACTCAACTCTCGGCCCCTCTGTCCCCTCTCGTCCGATCCGAATGATTTGGAGGTTCTAACCCCGGGTCACTTCCTGATTGGCCAGCCACTTAACGCCTTGCCCGAGTACCCCTTCAGGGAAATAATCTCTTCGCGGTTGAGCAGATTTGACCTGCTGCAACAAATGACTCAGAGTTTTTGGCACCTATGGTCTCTGGAGTACCTACATCTTTTGCAGCAGCGCGTTAAGTGGTCTGACAAGACGGATCCTCCTCGGGTTGGAGACCTCGTGTTAGTTAAAGAGCCCAACGTTTTGCCTTTGTATTGACGCCGTGGGCTCATTGTTAAGTTGTCGTACGGATCAGATGGAGTACCTAGGGTGGCCGAGGTTTTGGTTGGAGATTCGGTCTTGCAACGTGCCGTCGCGACCCTATCCCGTTTGCCAATTTACTCGCGGACATAAGTCCTTATGCCCGGGACGGGGGTTTGTTTAGGCCAAATATTAACATTTTAAAAACCTGCATTCAAGACTTGGCGTGTTCGCCCGATGGAATTTAGGTCACCGCCGGCCCCCTCTCCCGCGCTTTTCTCTCAGCTGACCGCTCGGTCGCCTGAAGGGTGGGCGAGGTTATTTTTTCGCGGCCGCCGTGTCGGTTAGACGGCCTGCAATTTGCGCTCGGAACGTTAGGTCGCGTTAAGACCGCCTCTGATAGCGTTGTCTTTTTTCGTGCGTTTTACGTGACAACGAGGTTTGTCTTGAGTTTGAGTGATTAACTTAACTTCGGTTGCCATTAATTTGCGCCGACGAGTTGCTTGTGTGGCATTTTAATATCGTACGAAGGAAGTTTTGCTTTGTCGGGTGGAACGCTAAAACTTTGTGACTCGAGAGGAGATCGCGTTCGTGCATGATTATAATTTTGTGCTAAGCTTTGAACTTTGACCGACAGTTCTTAAGTTGTGCAGTGTGTCACTTGTTTTTAAGTTCGATTAATGTTGAATTAGTTAAATTTGAAGTTAATTAAATGTACAATAAAGTTGATAAATTAATATAGTGAAATAAAAGCAGAAAGTCTCAATTGGTGAACGCTCACTGGAGGGATCGCACATTGTGGAGAAAAGCAGCGCCTGTGGGTCTGCTGTCAGATTAAATCGGTGACGTCAGGTTACATCTACACACTTTCACACACCACTTTACATCCACTTACTTACCACCTGATTTTGCCTTGTGGTTGACCCTACCTCCGGCACTCGGTAAGTTGTGTTTGCTTATCAGCCATTAGTTAGTTAATAATTATCCATAGGCCATTTGGGCCCGAACCTTCTGGTAGCCCGTCGAGTGAGCTACTGATGGGCCCTAGCCCAGTCGACTTCTGTCGGGGCAACTGAGGGCCGTAACAATGACAAAAGACGGACTCAAACCAAATAATGATAAAATCCAAGCCGTAGTAGATTTTACGATACCAAGAACCGCCACTGAAATCAAAAGATTTTTGGGTCTAGTAGGATACTATCGTAATTAAAGATTTCGCTAAAGTTACCCAACCACTCACCAATTGTCTCAAGAAAAGGAATAAGATTGAAATTACAGAACAATATGTAGCCGCTTTCGAGAGATGCAAAGAACTTTTGGTAAACGCACCCATTCTCCAATTCCCGGATTTTCCTAAACCATTCGTACTCACCACTGATGCCTCAAATTATGCTCTAGGAGCCATATTATCTCAAGGAGCCATATTATCTCAAGGCGCCATCGGAACCGACAAACCTATAGCTTACGCTAGTAGAACTTTAAATGGTGCAGAGAGCAGATACTATCGAGAAGGAACTGTTGGCGATAGTGTGGGCCATAAAAACATTTAGACCTTACCTATATGGCCGAAAATTTACCATTTTCACGGATTATAGACCTTTGGCGTGGTTAAATTCTATCAAAGAATTCAACAGTAAACTCATGAGATGGAAGTTGCGGCTTGCTGAGTTCGATTATGACATCGTTTATAAAAATGGGAAACAAAATTTCGTTGCTGACGCCTTATCCCGTGTTAAGGTAAACGCTCTGGGAGAAGACCAAAAATCAATGAAGGTTAACGTGGATAAGGATGAACAACTGCAAAGAAACATAGACAGCTTAATCGAAGAAATTCAAAGATTACAAAATAAGGACACAAGTCTGATGGAAATGTCATCGGATACGGAGAGGACCTCATCTATCCCGTCCGCTAAGAGCAATAAATCAAAATTCTATACAATCACCGACAAGTAGTACCGTTTCAGCACACGAAACATTTGATAACTCACACACCTTTACAAGACACTCAGCACATGAAATAGATACCGATGGTATTCCAATTCTAGAGGAAGCCACAGATACTAATCCACATCAAATATTTATTTTTACGTGGTATAGAGACGAAATAGCCGTTAAAAATGTATCGAGACAAAAACAAAAGATACTCGAAGTTCATATTCCCCTAAATAGGCCTGACCTAGTAAAACAATTGCTAAAGGAGTACATCAAACCTAAAATAAAACAAATCATTTACTTCGAGAACGACGCACATCGAAAACAATTTTCAGAGGCTGTAATTGAGTTATTTAAAAAGGGTACAGTTAAAATCTTTAAATGCAAGCGAATGGTAGTCTATGTAGAGGATGAGAATGAACAGCGTGAAATAATAAAAAAATATCATATTGGTGAAACATGTAATAGAGTTATAAAAGAGACATTAATACACTTAAAACGTACTTACTTCTGGAACAATATGGACCTAACAGTAGCCACATTCATAAACTCTTGTAAGGTGTGTAAGCGCATGAAATATGACCGTAAACCTGAACTTCAGTTAACCCAAACCCAAAACAAACCATTTCAGGAAATCTTTATCGATGTTTTCACCGTAGAGGGAAAATCCTATTTAACAATCATCGATGCCTTAATTAAGCTTGGACAAGCAATAGCAATAAACAATAGGTCAATCCCAGAAATAATTAGAGCTCTTATTAAATATTTCTCTATGTATGGCGTACCACATAGAGTAAGTTGTCGTGAAGCGACAATTAAAAACAAAAAAAAAGAACCTAACTTAGCAACAACAAAACAACAAAAATAGGGCAAAACAAATAATCTATTTAAAATATAAAAAAAGATGTTTACAGATTTATATAAAAAAAATGATGTATGAGGATGAAGATGGGTGACGTGATTTACAATCATTTCAAAAAAAAGATAATAAAAATGATGGGTATTGAAGCTGAGGCCGAAGATCTAAGTGGTACACCGCTTTTGGTGGTGGTATTCGCTGCCCACAGATTATACACAGGCTGTGCTGGTGGTAGGCCCACAGCGCCTGGAATAAGCGCTCGCAGCGCCTTGCAGGATCCGGCGACTTCAGACAGGGCAGAGGCTTGCAGGATCCGGCGACTTCAGGCAGGACAGAGGCTTGCAGGATCCGGCGACTTCAGGCAGGACAGAGGCTTGCAGGATCCCGGGGCAGTGCGGCCCCGGGATAAGGCCTTTAGGAGATGCTTCGAGTTTGAGAACTGAAGCGAGACTGCCTTTCTTGACCGATTGTTCGGTTTTTATACCTTTTTAGAGAGAACGGAATATTATTTAAATTAAACGTAAATTTTTTGTAAATGGCCAAGAGGAAAGAGTATTTATGTGGAATTATCGAAGTAGAAACAACAGACCGGTAGAGAATTTGAATAAAAATTGTCATGACAACCAGATAAACAACGATGTCAAAACATGTCAAATTTTGGTTTTAGGCTCGTAATAGAGAAACGGCAAGATTTAAGTGAAAAATGAGATATTATTGCTATAGGAAAAAAGGTAGCGCACCAGCGCGCACAAAGCCCGAAATTGCAGAGTTACGGAGAACTAAATAAAAGATCGAAAAAGGTAGACTCCATCGACACCGATTTAAAAAATGCTGATAGCGTGAAAATACGAAGTGAAAATGATTTGTTATTGTGTTCTTATGGTTTAAAAACGTTACAGGATCCTATGGAAATAAAGGTAATATCCAGTTTTGAGGTGAATGCAGAAAATCAAAACAGAATGGAAAAATGAATTTAAAATAGTGTAAAATGATATGTAAGTAGCATAACACTACAAAGTGCAGATTCAGGAAATGAATTTAATAACGTACTAATGAAAGAAACCCTTAGTTTTTACAAAATAGATTTTTGCATATAGGCACTCCTCACAATCCAATTTCCATGGCACATGTCGAGCGTTTCCACTCCACCCTGTTAGAAATATATCGCTTAGCGAAATATGAAAGAAAAATTACAGATGCTGCATCTGTAATGCCATCATGTCGTACAACCAAACGATACATTCAACAACAGGCCTTACGCCTTTCGAAGTAGTGTTCGGTCATACTGACTTCCCAAGTACTTTTGACGTCGAATTCAATAAAAATTACACACAAAAATTATTACAAGAACATAGACGACGAACTCAGTATTTATATGAATATTTAACTAATAAGGCCATTGATAAGAAACAAAGTATTAAAGAAAAAAGAGGAGGTGAGAAGGAATTTAACATTAAAACAGAGGACACAATATTTATAAAGGGCGCGAATGTTAGGAGAAGTAAAGATAAAGGGCGTTATGAAAAAGCAGAGGTCATAGGAGATATAGTTAGAAATACAGTACCAATTAAGTATCACGGTCAAAATACAAGGGCCCCAATTAAGGATATAAAACGTCCTCCACAGGTTCATTCTGTTCCTGCTGCAAGTCTTCAGGACCCAGGCCCTTCTTCTTTTTTTTTTATGGGAGTGGGGGCAAACGAGCGTGCGGCTCACCTGATGGTAAGTGACTACCGCCGCCCATGAACAACTGCAACACCAGGGGAATCGCAGATGCGTTGCCGGCCTTTTAAAAAGGAGTACGCTCTTTTCTTGAAGGTCCCTAAGTCGTATCGGTCCGGAAAAATCGCTGATGGTAATCGATTCCACAAGGAGGTCGTGCGAGGAAGAAAACATCTTCTAAATCGCACAGTGGTGGACCGCCAATCATCCAGATGGTGTGGATGGTATCGGGAGTTCTGCCGCGATGTGCGTTCGTGAAATTTGGCGGCTGGGATTAATCCGAACAATTCCTCAGAGCACTCCCCATGGTAGATGCGAAAGAAAATGCAAAGGGATGCAACATCTCTTCGCAGTGCCAATGAATCGAGCCGATCGGAAAGGGCTCGGTCGTCGACAATTCGAGCCGCTCTGCGTTGGATGCGGTCAAGTGGAAGGAGCTGGCACTGGGGAGCCCCTGCCCAGAGATGGGAACAGTATTCCATGTGAGGCCGAACTTGCGCCTTGTAAAGTAGCAGGCGGTGTGCCGGCATGAAATACTGTCCCGCTCTGCTGAGCACGCCAAGCTTTTTAGAGGCCAATTTGGCCTTCCCTTCCAAGTGACCACGAAACTGCACGTCACTCGATATGTCGACTCCGAGGATACCGATACTGGCTGAGGCAAGAAAGGGAGTGCCTTGAAACTGAGGAGATACGACAAAGGGGTTCTTTTTAGCGGTAAACGCGCAAACTTGTGTCTTCTGAGGATTAAATTGGACTAGATTTAGTTGCCCCCAATCCGAGACTTTGTTCAGCAAAGACTCGACTTCAGACACAAGTTTGTTCCGGTACTCAGCGACGTTTTCCCGAGAAATATTGGCACGGCCGGTGTATAGAGCATCACCAGTGCTGTCATCGGCATAGCAATGAATGTTACCAGTTTGCAACATATCATTGATATGCAGAAGAAACAGCGTTGGTGATAGCACACAGCCTTGTGGAACACCAGCGTTAATAGGCTTGTAGTCAGAGCATGCACCGTCTACAACGACCTTGATGCTCCGATCTGCAAGGAAGCTGGTGATCCAATTGCACAATTTCTCGGGAAGCCCATAGGAAGGGAGCTTCGAAAGAAGCGCTTTGTGCCAAACCCGATCGAAGGCCTTCGCAATGTCCAGACTAACGGCCAACGCCTCCCCCTTGGACTCTACTGCCTCCGCCCATCTATGGGTCAGGTAGACCAGAAGATCACCAGCTGATCGACCCCGACGAAAACCGTATTGGCGGTCACTAATCAGCTGGTGATCCTCAAGGTACCGGATGGGCTGGCAGTTAATAATGGATTCCATTATTTTGGAGAACAAGGAGGTGATCGCGATAGGCCTATAGTTGGATGGATCTGAGCGGTCGCCTTTTTTAGGGATCGGGTGGACAAAAGCTGTCTTCCATGAATTCGGGACTACGCCTTGAGAGTAGGAGTACCGGAAAAGACGCGTTAGGACCGGTGCCAACTCCGGAGCACACGTCCTCAGCACAATTGGGGGGATTCCGTCAGGCCCACTCGACTTCTGGATGTCCAGGGAGAGCAGTGCTTTGCGAACCGAGCGCTGTGAGAACAGCACATCTGGCATGGAGCACTCACACCGCGGGATGGTCGGCGGTGTTTTTCCCCCGTCATCAAGAGTCGAGTTGGACGCAAAAAGGGAGCCTAACAGGTCGGCTTTGTCTTTTGCGTCATGGGCCAGTGAGTCATCGTCCCTGTGCAGAGATGGTAGTGATGGCTTACAGAAATTCCCTTGGACAGCCTTGGCGAGAGACCAGAATGCACGGGTTCCCGAAGGAAGGCGAACTAGTTTCTCGCCAATTCTGCCTATGTGCTCTGACTTTGCCTTGGCAATAACTCTTTTGAAGGACCTGGAGGCGAAGTTATACTTCTTTTTAAGTGTGCTGGTATTTACATCCCGAGTCGCGGAAGCCGCAGCCCAGGCTTGATAACACTCCTGCTTACTGCGTAATGCAGTCTTACAGGAGCGACCAAACCAAGGCTGAGATCTGCCTCCGATGGGTACCACAGATGATGGAATAAATAGTTCCATTCCCTGTAGCACCACATCAGTGACAGAGTCAGCAACAGCGCTGGGATCATCCGGCGAGAAGCAAACCCGCCCCCATGGGTAGGATGCAAAGAAGGACCGCATTCCGTCCCAATCCGCCGACCTGTAATGCCAAACACGGCGGCAACCTGCAGAACGCAACCGCGAAGGGAGCGTGAGTGGCACCACACTCCGGATTAGACAATGGTCCGAAGAGCCGAGAGGGGCATCGACGGAAACCTGATATCCGTCCGGATGAGAGGTCAGCAGAAGGTCCAACAGGGAAGGTGTATGATCCTCCACATCTGGAATCCGCGTAGGCGAAGTAACCAGTTGTGTCAGACTATATGCCAAGGCAAAGTCATAAACAG